CACACACATATATATATATATATATATATATATATATATATATTCGTCACAACAATCTCATTTGCAATACCGGCCAAATTTGTGTGGACAGCTCTTTCAGGACCAGCCCATTGACAAATCAATACTATAGTTCTGTCCAAACATATTTACCCGACTTTGAAAATGAGGTTGTTGTGACGAATATAGGTGTTCTGGTTACAAGTATAAGAATAAAAAGACAAAAGACTACCGGATGCGCCTGTGTGATGAGCCGCAAGAACAGTGAAAACGGACTTGTGCTTCCGGGAACTTTTTTCCCATCATTTGTATGCTAATTATTGGACGACAGCAGGGCTGCCTACCACCAAAGTCGGGTGGTAGCGGCAGGCCTCGAATCTCGAGCCATAGGGTCCAAAGCACGCCTGTAACAGCGACTAAACCACTGCCCCACCACCACCTATATATGTTTATATGTATATGTATATCTGTAAGGCCGTCACCTTCTACGTTTGGGGTTACTTTTTTGTTCAAAGTACAACGTGGAATTATCGATTAGCACTGCGATGAGTTCTGCATTGTTGGGTATTCCGTGTAGTAGACATACGGATTCACTGAACTTAGTATTCTAAGCGTTTAGATCCCCGATAATTCTGGTTGCCGAATGATATAAATCCCTTAACAGTCAACGGCAAACGTGTGTACGTTTCAAGTAGTACATTTTTATTTCAGGTCAGGCCTTGTCCATAGGTAACAGCTCCAATGAGCCTAGCTCTATAATGAATACCCTATTGCATAATTTCGGTNTCTGTTCTCCTCTGGCATAGTATCCCCGTTGAATCTGTTGATGTTGCTTTATCTTTGGCGATTTTGAGTGATTTCTTTCTAAATAAACAGAATAATTATTGAACGCGGGATTTCTGCGTCCTCGTGAGTTCGTTTTCACCGATCACTTGTTGCAGCAACCCTAATTTGTTTCCGTGTTGGTGTGTTAGAAAATATTTGCAAGCCGTCACGGTTGGGATCATACTTATCACCAGGTGGAACAGATGTACAACATAGAAGTCAAATTTATTGCGCATGTTAACGAAGCTACCATCACTTGACGCAAGCTGTGATCGTATCAGATCATCAGGCACTAGCAATCCGGTTTCCTAACAAGTTCTAATGACTTAATGCTGTCCGTTCAATGTTTTTCCAGCGAACAATTTGGATGTGCCCACCAGTGACTTCCACAGCTCCGACTCGTTTGAACCACTTGGTCATCCAGGGTCTGAGGATAGCGGTAAAACATCTCACGCTCGCCTGACCAGTTCATCCGAATTGGTCACAGCCACTCTGACCACCTCACTTCCCGGATCGAGTCCCGGGTCTAGTTCAGTCGCGGTTCCCGTGCCCGGACCAACCGGGGATTATCCCGCTCCTGCACCGGCCTCATCTTTACCACATCCTTTTATTCCTTTGCCTGTCCCGCGTACCGGTTCGTTGGCTCTGCACAAATGTCCTCGAAGTACTCTGTCTCCGGTTAGTCGTTTCCTCAACTTCTCCATCAGTCACATACCGATAATCTGTTTTCATATTTTTCAATAAGATACTGATCAGATGAACTGTTTACACATGCTAAATGTCATCATTCATTGGTTGTGGCAAAGTTGCTATGTTTGATGGTTATTCTGTTATTCGGATCGATTTGCGGGCATATGCATGTTGCGATTTGTTTGTTAGGCTGCAAAACACTGTACAAGCCACACACACACACGCACATTCCTATCAACCTATACACCTTTCCGGAGGGTGAATCAACGCTACGCGTCAGAACAAAAAGCCCCGTTTCTTTCTGACGCATTGCAACCCACTGATCTTTCCCGTGTGATTCTGTGCGTGTGTGTGTATGTGTGCATATGTACGATGAAATGCGTTTTGTACTACTACGTAGACCTACTGTCCAGTCAAATTCTGCGCAGTGGTTACACAAATGTCATTTCCGCCAGCATCTGGGCATTTCTTCTGCCTATTCTACTTTTTTCCCAGTCCCTGTATGTATGCAAAGACACAGGTATCAATACATCCACACACAAGCGCGTACACACACATGTATGTATGATTTGTGTTACTTGCACGTTCTTCATGTCACGTATTAGTGTTTGAATTAATCTTGTCTTACCCAGAGTACGCTGTGTGTAGATACTGATGAGACTATTTCCGATGATCACTCTGCCACAATTCCATACAATTTCACATGGAAACGCCTTTCGAATCTGGGAATTCGTCGGCCGGCCGACTGGCCACCCGTCCTGACAGTGATTTCTTTCCAATACTGTACATCTACGATTGCTTGATTCTCTCCAAGCGTGGTTCGATCAACCGAAGCAAATAAAATGGATTTGGAAGCGTGCTGTGTGTTGTGTGTGTGTGCATTCAAGTGGAGATGCTGAATGTGTGGAACTAAGGCGTTTTGGTGGGTGTCGACCAGCCTGACGCCCATGCCCGATTCTATAGTGACATTTTGTTTTTGTTCCGCCCCCCCTTGTCCTCCCCTCACTTTGACCTTTTTATTCGAACTGTTTCCTGTGAGTGTCACATGTGCTGTTTCTGGTTTCATCGGCAAGTTGCTATGGTATTGGCGATAACTTCTAATCGAGAGACTGTATCTAACGCAAAACACTATGATTTGGGAAAGGGAACCACGCGATTACCTGGGTGGTGGTGCTGGTGCTGTTAGTGATGTGTGTGTGCGTGTGACTGTGCCCAGCTAGCCTAATTCCTCTGCACCATGTTCCCACCTGT